ATGTTCTGCTTGTTTCGGCCGACGGAGGGCCTCAAGTTCCTGAGGGTCGTTCTTCTGGCCTGGAGGTCCGACTGTGCCACCGCCTGCCTGCCACCGCTCAAAGAAGGAGATTAGCCTGACGAAGGACCCAACCATAAGCACTTGTGGATACCGCATTCTGGGTCCATCGTTTGACGGGCCTCCCCATGGGGCCACGAAGCGTGTGAGGGGTGTGCCGAAATGGGCAGGGAACCGCATACGAACCTTGCCACTGGGGCCTTCGGTGGGCTCCCTTTGGGGCCACGAAGCGTGTGAGGGGTGTGCCGAAATGGGCTGGGAACCGCATGCGGACCCTGCCACTGAGTCCTTCGGTGGAGCTCCCTATTAGGCCACGAAACGTGTGAGGGGTGTGCCGAAATGGGGGGGGGGACCGCATGCGAACCCTGCCGCTGGGGCCTTCGGTGGAGCTCCCTGTAGGGCCACGAAGCGTGTGAGGGGTGTACCGAAATGGGCTCTGAACCGCATGCGAGCCCTGCCACTGGGGCCTTCGGTGGCGCCCCCCATGGGGCCACGAAACGTGTGAGGGGTGTGCCGAAATGGGGGGGGGGACCGCATGCGAACCCTGCTATTGGGGCTTTCGGTGGAGCTCCCTATGGGGCCACGAAGCGTGTGAGGGGTGTACCAGAGTGGGCAGGGAACCGCATGCGAACCCTGCCACTGGGGCCTTCGGTGGAGCTTCCAATGGGGCCACGAGACGTGTGAGCGGTGTGTCAAAGTGAGGGGGTTGACGGGAGGAGGGAGGAGGGGGAGGAGGAGGAGGAGGAGGAGAGGAGATGAGAGGAACGCGGGGACCGTCTTTTCAAGACGAGGACCCAGCACCACAGGATGGTTGGGAAAAACAACCGGACCCGATAACTGGCGTTTGCTAAACGGCCCTGGACGTTTACGAAACAGCCCTGCCGTGTTCAATTATGTTCGATTCCATTTTGGGCTTCGTTTACTAGAGTATTCTTGGGTGGTCGGGGGTTAGATTTTGTGCCGTCTCACCGCGGGATCAATGGCTGCCCCTGCCCTGTCCTTGTTGACGACGATCACTAGAGAGGGAGGAAGCATGTGTCCAACTCGTTTCTAGGTGTCTAAAAAACATGTGGTAAACCCGTCTTATAAAACATGTTCAAACCCATGTTGAAAGCATGTTCCGCACAGGCTTCAAACATGTTTAACACAGGACTGTTAGGGTGCCCATTTTGCCCTGGCGTCCGCGACCCTGTCCCGCCCTGGCGCCTTCCGCCCCATCCCAGCCAGGGAGCCGCGCCAGCGTGCCCGCCGCGCGGACGCCGTCGAAGGGCAAAGCCGGCCGCACGCCGCCGGCAGGACGGGACTCCTGGCCGCCTTCGGGGAGGAGGAGGAGGAGGAGGTCGGAGGAGGAGGAGGAGGTCGGAGGAGGAGGTCGGAGGAGGAGGTGGGACGAGAAGGAGGAGGAGGAGGAGGAGGAGGAGGAGGAGGAGGAGGAGGAGGGGGAGGAGAAGGAGGAGGAGGTGGAGGAGGAGTCGGAGTCGGAGTCGGAGGAGGAGTCGGAGCCGGAGGAGGAGGAGGAGGAGGAGGAGGTCGTCGTCCTTCGAAGAGGCAAAAAACGAGGGAGGGAGACGCGTCCAGGACCCAGCAGCTGCGAGTCTACGAAGGAGACGGGTCCTGACACGAAGGGGGCGACCCCAGAATCGGCACTGCTACTGCGATGGAGGGGGATAGGAGGCAGGGACGGAGGAAGGACGAGGGAGACACGGGCATGCGGGACAAACGGGTCCTGGACCCGAGGCTTTCCCCGGGAGCAGCTTCTCGTCCCGAATGGTGCTCCAGCGGCCCGGGGGGGGCCTATGGAGGGCAGCGGGAGCCCCAAATTCAAAAGCCTGCGGGGCCCAGTTCCCCTCAGAGCCACCTTGTCCTTCGTGGCGAGAGGAGAGCGGAGGACTAGAAGAAGACACAACGCCGTCAACATACACTTTTGGCGCTCCGCGCGGACTTCTTGGATCTGCGCTGGGCCCCCATGGCGGCGCCTCCGGCGCCGCCCCTGGCGCGCTCCGCGCGCCAGGGAGGGGGGTCCAGCACAGATCCAAGAACTCTGCGCGGAGCGCCGAAAGTTGATGTTTATGGAACTTTTTCTTCTAGTCCTCCTCCCTCCTCTCGCCATGAAGGAAAAGGTGGTTCTGAGGGGAACTGGGTCATGGAGGCTCTTGAATTGGGGGCTCCCGCGGGCCCCTCTGACCGTCAGAACACAATTCGGGACGAGAAACTGCTCCCACAGAAACCCCGGGTCCAGGACCCGTTTGTCCCGTATGCCAGTGTCTCCCTCGTCTTTCCTCCGTCACTGCCTCTACCCCCCTCCTTCACGGTAGCAATGCCGATTCTAGGGTCGTCGCCGCCTCGCAGCTGCTGGATGTGGCCCCCAGCGTTGTGCACTCGTTTGCCCCCCCTCCCGTCCACCGTCCTCCTGCCGCCCTTCTTCGTGCCCTTTTCCCCATATCCCGCGTTTGGTGTTCTGTTATGTGTGAGACCCCTGCGCCTCACTCCCGCATCCTCCCTTTCATAGTGACATTTCCTTTGCACACATACCTCTCGCACTCTTATTTTCTGAGGCTCGCACGCGCTCAGAATCCTTGTTGGCCATTTGCACTGAGGTCTGCACTTAAAGCACAGCGGTCGATGGCCATCGCAATATAGCATGCATGGCACCAGGGCTCCCAATGGGGAGCCGCCAGGAGGTACGTATGCATTTAGCAAGTGCGCGATTGTTTCTGAATGATTCGACATGTGGATTCGACATGTGCGGGGTGAGGGGGCTCGCGAGTGGCCCGCGTTGCATAAGTTAACAGGGATGGCGGGAAACCAGTGATGTTCTTTTGAATCAGGTGCGCGGGTGGAGTCTATAGATTCAAGTGGCTCACGCCATTCCGCCGACCCCCACAAGGAGTGAGTGTTTGAGACGATCGTGGAAGTTATATCTTGGGTCAGGAGCCCGCTGGATGAATCTGGGGGTCTCCTTGGGATGCCTCTATGGGGCCTCTTGGGGAACCAGTGGGGGCATGTGGGAGGTTTTTGGGTGCCCCTTGGGGTCTGCTTAGGGGCGTCTTGGGGGCCTCTTGGGGCCTCTTGGAGGGCCCTCGGGGGTGGTGAAGGCTGGGAATGTCATTGGGCCGTCGTTTTCGCTGTCAAAACGTCAAATGCGAATGTGCTGACATGTAAGTTTTCCCAAGGGTATGAGATGATTTGGACCTCTTGGGGCCCTTTCGGCGATCAACTGGAGGCGCTTCTGAGGTGTCTTGGCGGCCTCGTGGGCAATCTTGGATCCCTCTTGGACCGTCGTGGGGCTACCCTGGGCCGTCGTGACGTTCTCTTCGACTGTCTTGGCGCTCTGTCTGGGCCCTTTTGGGCTGTCTTGGGGCTTTGTGGGGGCTCTGGAGGCCCCTGCGGTGCGTTGACGAGCTCGTCCCCCCCTTTCCCCCCCTAGAATGACATTTTGGACCCCAGGGGAGGGGGAAAGGGGGAGGGAGACAGCCGAATGACTCACACGCCTTTTCACCCAGGGCATGCGGGGGTCGGCGGATGTTGAGTTGAAATCGGTATTTCGTGTTTTCTTGAAAGAGCCGATATTGAAATGATGCTAAGCGACAATGCAACTTGTAATGGCTTCGGCCTACGCGCGTGGGGCGCCCGCGCGTGGCTTGCATTTCATTATCTGATGAGGACGCTTACGAAACATGGTTGAATATTAACGCGCGCGCACCGCATGGTATCATTTGACAGTGTTGACAGTGGGAGCTCATATCGCCCAGGCGGGGGCTGTATGGCTACGCATGTCGGATGCACGACGGCGTTTGATAACTGTGAATAGCAAGTGCTCCGAGAGCTCGCCTGTAGGAGGAGGAGGAGGATGAGGAGGAGCAGGAGGAATCTACGTGTGCGCTTGGCAAGGCCATAAGGCGGCCACGCACGACTGGACAGGCCATCCATTGCAGAAGGCGGCCACCAGGCACCCACGGGTGAGCACCGGCGTAAAAGTTTGAATGCGCAGCCAGCGCATCAGGCGGTCACGGGGCGCCCACAGGCGGGCGCCGGTCAAAAAAATTGGAAGAGGCAGCGACATGCAAGCATTGTTTGGGGAGTGGAAGTCGAGTTGGTTTTGACGACTTTTTCCTCTGCAGGTCGCTGCTCACAGCCACCTGCGAGTCTCACGCGGCTTCTTGCCATTCTGCGGCGTTGGTGGTGCCGACGGGCTCTTTGGGGTCCTTTTCCGAGCCATGTTGTCACATTTAGGGGCGATGTTGCGCCATCTTTGGGCGCGTCGAGGCCATTTTGAGCCGTCCGGGGCCCTTCCAGAGGTCCTCTGCGTGCTCGGGCCACGTGCCCGAGGCCGGAAGGGGGGGGGGTGGCACGTGGGGCTCGGTTTGCAAAGGTGTCTTGTTATTTGTAAGGGGTTCGCTTCCTGCCGCAGGCTCTCTCTCTCTCTCTCTCTCTCTCTCCATCATAATGAGATCCCATCCGAGCTGTACTTGTAAACCTTGTGCAATTTCTAATTATTCGAAGGTTCTTTGATTTTCAGGGGGGCCAAGATCCTTTCATTTCCTGATTGTTCTATCCTGGGCCTCTTCCTGGCCACTAGGGGGCCATAAACAATTAGAACCGAGCACAATTCGAAATGAACACGTTTAGAAATGAACGGCGCCGTCTGGGAGATATGTAAGAGGGCCATGCGAGGACGGCAGGCGATGAGCAAAACATGTTGGGATGTTGAAGGGGGATCGTGGCCTCGGGGGTGCGAACGTGGCTTCCATTGCAAGGGATCGTAGCCTCGCGGGTGCGAATGCCACGTGATTTGCGAGGTGTCGTGGCCTCGGGGGCGCTTTTTTTTCGTGGGTTCGGAGAAGCGAATCTGGCGTAATCTATAAGGAATCGTAGCCTCGGACGCGCGATAGTCGAGTTCTGTGCAGAAAGGTTTTATGGTTTCGGGGGCGCGACCGTGGCGTAATGCACAAGGTATCGTGGCCCCTGGAGCACGATGGCGACGTACTTTACGAGGAATCTTGAATTCGCAAGCGCGAATGTAATTTGCGGGCGATCGTGTCTTCGGAATTGCGAGCGTTGTGCAGTTTACACGGGATCGTGGCCTCGGGAGCGCGCACGTTGTGTAATTTAGAAGATGTCGTGACCTCGGGGTGGGAATGTTGCGTAATTTGCGAAGGGATCGTGGCCTCGAGGGCGCGAATGCTGTGTGGCTTAAAAGATACCGTGGCCTTGGGGGTGCGACTGTTGCGTCATTTACTAAACGGATCGTGGCCTCGGGGGCGCGAATGTGGTGTAACTCGCAAAGGAACAGGGCCTCGGGGGCGCGAGTGTTGTATAGTTCATCCCGGATCGTGGCTTCGGGGGCGCGATTCGGCGTAATTTGCGGAGGATCGCGTCGCCGGGGGAGCGAGTGTTGAGTACTTTGCGATGGGTCGGAGCCTGCGCGGGATGGCTCGGCCCAGAGGGGCCCAGGCAGCCGGAGAGGACGGCGCAGCCTTGCCGGCGGCGGCCGTTCGCGCGGCCTTGAAGGCCAAGGTGCCGCGGCGGACGGCAGCGGCGGTGGCAGGTGCGGTGGCTGCGGTCGCGCTTCGGGCGCGTGCCGCACCATCGGCGCCGCCGCCTGCTGCGACCGCCGCAGGCGCTGAGGACGTTCGTGGAGGTGAAGCTGGCGCTGCCGCCTCGGCGGCGAAGGTGGAGCGGCGCGGTCGGCCGGGCGGCCCGCCGCGGCGCAGCCTGGTGCCTCGGCGGCGGCGGCGGTCGCTGGCGCGGGGCCCCGGCGGCGGCGGCGGCGCCTCGGCGCCGAGCCCGACACGGGCGACCCCGAAGAGCGAGCGGGGCTGCGCGCGAAGCTGCTGCTGGCGAGGCCGGGGGCCTGCGCCGCCCGCGCGCACGACCTCCCTGGCGCCCGAGGGGGGCTCCGCGAGCTCCTGGCGGCGGGCTCTGGGTCCGGGGCGACCGGGGGGGAGGAGGAGGATATGAGGAGGAGGGTATGAGGAGGAGGATATGAGGAGGAGGAGGAGAAGGAGGAGGAGGAGGAGGAGGAGGAGGCGCAAGAAGAGGAGGAGGAGGCGGAGGAGGAGGAGGAGGAGGAGAAGGAGGGGCCCCCAAACGGTGCGGTGACACCGCCGTGTGGTGAGTCAGTGGGGATTCGGGGTCACCGCTCGGTTTTGGGGCTCGGGTCGCTCTTCGAGGACGTCTCGGGCGATCTGGGGCCTCTGGAGTCCCAGGATCGTGCGTTGACGGACCGTGCAGCAAGGTCTGTCACAGCACCGTCTTGGGATCCCCAGGGGGCAGCGGGGAGGTCGGCGATAGTGCCAAGCCGCTTCGGCGGGGCGGCCGCCTGGCCTCCCCCCCTCGCCGCGCATGGAGCACGGCTTCGGCGTGCTCCACGGCTCCTTCGGCCTCGCCTCGGTCGTGGTGAAGCGCACCGCGTCGAGGCTCGGCTGCGCTGCTGCGCGGTTGGCTCGGCCGCGTCGCCATGGGCCCTTAAGGCCCAAGAAAGAGGCGGGAGCGTGACATCATTTTCAAAGGATCGTGGCTTCGGGAGCGCGATGGCGGTGGATTTTTCGAATGGTTGCGGCGCCAGGAGCGCGAACTTGTAGTAGTTTGCGAGGGATCGCGGCCTCGGGGGCGCGAACGAAATGCAATTCACTAAGACTCGTGGCGCCGCGGCTGGGCGGAGCTGCGCCAGGCGCTGCAGGGAGGGCTGGGGCGCTGGCGGGTCGGCGGGCAGGCGATGCGGCGTGCCCCAGGCGTGCCATTGTGCCGTCCCCGCGCTCGCCCAGGCGCTTCCAGGTAGTGCATGCTAGTAGAGGGCCCAGCCGGCAAAACTCCTGCCTCCTCCCTGGGGGCGGCCGCTGAAAGGTGGGTGGGAACCTGGCGACGGCTGCAACCATCACCGAGCGCGTTCTACTACTCTTAGGTCGGGCATGTCCCCCTGCAGGCGGATTTTTGACGAAACATTAAAAGTACCCCAGTGCGACCCTACCTAGAAGTTGAAGCCCCTAGGAAAGCAGCATTATTTGCTATGCTATGCTATGCTATGCCAGGCTATGCTGCGCTATGCTATGCTATGCTATGCTATGCTCTGCTATGTTGCGCCATGCAATGCTATGCTATGATATGATATACTAAGCTATGATATGGCATGCTGCGCTGTGTTATGCTAAGCTATTATATGCTATGATATGCTAATTTGCGCTATACTATGATGTGGCATGCTATGCTATGCTATGCTATGCTGCGCTATGTTCTGGTATGCAATGCTATGCTTGGTTATGGTATGGTATGCTATGTTATGTTAATGCAGCGCTGCGCTATGCTAAGCTAAGCTAAGATAACCCTCTAGGCAGAGCCTAGGTAGGTAGGCATAGCCTTGTTATGCTATGCTATGTTATGCTGCGCTGTGCTATGCTGTGCTGTGCTGTGCTGCGCTATGCGATGCTATGCGATGCTATGCGATGCTATGCTATGCTATGCTGCGCTATGCTATGCTATGCTGGGCTATGCTATGATATGCTGTGCTGCGCTATGCTATGTTACGCTATGCTGTGCGGTGCTCTGCTATGCTATGCTGAAGCTCAGCGAAGCTAATATTAAGGTAAGCTAAGCTAAGATAAACCTGAGCTAAGATGAAGCTAAGCTAAGCTAGGATGACATAAGCTAAGTTAAGATGAGATAAGCAACGCTAAGCTAAGGGGACGTAACTGGGGGAACCTCAGGGCGGATACTGGGGGAACCGCCCGGGGCGGTGTGCGCTGCCCGGCCCCTTTAAGAAAGAGAGTAAGAACCCTTCTAGGCAGAGCCTAGGTAGGGAAGTAGCCAAGAATGTTCAAACATTGTGTACAGATACTCAAAGAATCGTCCCCCGATTTCTTAAGATTATTTTGAATGTTCCTCCTGTAAAGGGACGTGCCCGACTTAACACTACTCAGAAAGCGCCTACTCGCAAACGCCCGTAAAACACAAGTCTGCATTGATGTAATGTATCGTACAACCGCCATGGCGGATCCAGGTCATTTGCGAGTAGCTATTGCGCAAGTAGTGGAACACTGTTGTCTAAACCAGGGGGGCCCGAGGGGGACGGTGCTGAGCACTGAGGGCTTGCGCGCGCCGTCCCCCAGCCAGGCCTCGCGCGGACTGACCTGTTCCTCTTCTCTTCAGCCTAGATTCCTCTTCCTCATCTTCTGCTTCCGCCAGGCTTCGCCAAAATCAGCCAGCCCCAGTCACTGCTGTGACTTGATAGGTATCCTTGGAATGTCTAGGCACGTTCTTGGGCTGCCAGGGTGGCTTTCTTGGGGCCCTTTTTGGGGCGTCTAGGGGTCCTCTTATGGGCTGTCTTGGGGAGTCTCGGAGCCGTGCGGGTGCCTTCTTTGCAGCCTCAGCGCCCCCCCGGGATGCCTGGGGTCAAGGAGGAGGACGGCATTTGGGGCGTCACCAAGGCCTGTCCAGGCAGCGCGACAGGCCCGCCATCCTCGCTCATGGCTCCCGAAGGTGATGGGCGATTTTCCACCACCACTACCAGATGTAGGAGGAGGAGGAGGAGGAGGAGGAGGAGGAGGAGGAGGAGGACCTCCTCATCCTCCCTTCTCCCCCGACCTACATCTGGTAGTGGTGGTGGAAAACTTGCCCATCAGAAGGCTCCAGATCGCTCGGGGCAAGAAGCAGCGACTTGTGGGCGGGACCCATGGGCGCCAGGACGCCGTCATATAACTACTGGAAGCGTTCAGAGGCCTTTTACGCAGGGCTGCATTTTTTTCTTCTGGGGAGGTTCGCGGGGGTCCTGAGATTCTCCTGGCGGTAAGGCTCGCTGCAAGACGATACAGCAATACAGGGTCACAGCCGAACTTGCATGTGGAACTGCTCTCTCGTGTGCTAAAGTCAAGTCTCATAGTAAGGCTGCGCAACTTTCAAAGGCTACCCTTGCAACCTTGCCTCTTCGGCCCATCCCTTGCGGCTTTCGCTGGTCATCCCCGTTCGAAAACACCAGCATGGCCCTCCAAGGCCCTTGCATCCTCGTCGCGCAACGATGCGACTTGGCTGTACCATGTTCGTCGGGGCCGTCTGTCAATACGACTTACACATGTCATCCGTACGGTGGGGGCGTTGGTTAAGGAATGCGCCCAGGAGGCTGCAGACCCTGGAGGGTTCCTTATCTGATGAGGGCGGCGGTGATATCCATGGCCAAGCTTCGACTGGAGTTCCACCGGCTTCCAGACCTTGGATTGTTTATCTAAGGATTCCTTATCCCATGCCCCCCACCGCATGCATGTATGGAGGAAGAGGCAGAGGAAGAGGAGGAGGAAGAGGAAGAGGAGGAGGAAGAGGAAGAGGAACAAGAGGAGGAGGAGGAGGAGGAGGAGGAGGAGGAGGAGGAGGAGCACGAGCAGGAGGAGGTCAGGACCGTTGGCTTAGCGTGTTGCCCCGCAAGCTCTGGCACACCACGCTGCGGCGCGACCCTCTCGCCACTCTCCCTTGGTCCCCGAGCGTCAGCGCCCCGGGCGCTTCCCGGGGCTCCCCGCCCCGCGGGGGGCGGAGCGACACGCGCGGTCCGCCCGCAGGGCGTAGCGCGTCGCCGGGACCGCCGCTCGCAGGCGATGTTTTTGTCCGCACCCCGCCCAGCTTTTCGGCGACAAATGAAGCGGCGAAGAGAAGGAGGGAGACCCTGGGATACACCCCCAGGGGGCTACTCGGACGCACCCATATCGAGGATGGACGCTCCCCCACCTTTGCATGTTCCAGGGCTGGGCCCGAAATTTCTGGTGCATTCGAAAATCTCCCAAAGCCTGGGATAGGGGTCGACATATCCCCTGTTAGCCGTACCCCGTCGAGGCTGACCCACACTCCAAGTATCTGGATTGGTCTTCCGTCGTGGGTCTGGTCCTGTGTCGCTCGGAGCTACAAGTTTTAAGTCGGGCGTGCCCTTTTACAGGAGGAAGATTCAACGATCTGCAGAGACCAGTCTGGGGACGATTGTTCGACTTCGGCTATGTTTGAGCGGTTTTTGACTAGCCTGTCATGTTTCTTCCGCCTGTAGGAGGGCATGCCCGACCTAAAGCTACGCGTCGCGGTGGTGACTGCACTGCGGCCGTCCCGCGCGAGCACGGCGTGGAGGACATTTAGCGAGGAGCAGGGCGGGGAGGAGGCCGGGGGGAGGAGGAGGCTACCCAGGGAAGCAGGGAAGAGGAGCAGGGGTGCGAGGCGGAGGGGTGGGGGACGAAGCGGGGTCGGGCGCACGACGAGAGAGAGGCGGAGCAGGGATCGAGAAACAAGGAACATCGGCATGTGCATAAACTGTTGGCGCTCCGCGTGGATTTCTCGGATCTGCGCTGGGGCCCCCCGGTGGCGCCGTCGGCGCCGCACCTAGCGCGCTCCGCGCGCCAGGGAGGGGGGCCCAGCGCAGATGCAAGAAAACCGCGCTGAACGTCAAAAGTTTATGTTTATGCGCTTTTTCTTCCTCTAGGGAAAAGGAGGGGACACTGCAGAGGAGCGATAGCGGTAAGGAGGACAAGCAGGAGGAGGAGGGGGGGGCGGGATGGTTGCCCGGAGAAGCGCCAGCGGCGTGCGCGCTCAGGACCTAGCCCGGCACCCCGAGCGCCCAACCATCCTCATCACCCTCTGGCGCATCGAGGCGATGTCTGGGGTCCATCACATGCTTTCTGATTTCATCGCGCCCAATTCACCCTCGTCGGAGGAGGAAAAGGTACCCATACCTCTACCCTTCCCTCGCTTCCCCTTCTTGGGCCTCCTCGGAGGCCCTCGTCGCCACCCCTGGATTCGCCTCGAAATCCTCGCCATATATATATATATATATATAGCACCCCGGGGAGGGAGGGCCAGGGAGGCGGGTACCAGTACCTTTTGTGGCCTCCCCACGCCGTGTCCATCATTATCCTCAGACTCTTCCGCGCCTCTTCCTCCTCGCTTCTATGTCCCCCCTTCCGGTGCCAGTGGGGAGCAGGGCGGACGCGCGGACGCTCGCCTGAGATGTGGCTGAGGCCCAGGCATCGGGCGCGAGAACGAGCAGGTTGCGGAGATGAGGGCGAAGCAGAGACAGCGGTAGAGGTCTGCGCAACCGTTGAAGGCGTGGCGAGTGCTGTTTTAAAGATCGATGTCGTCCCCCCGAGGCGGACGAGGACAGGGTCCAGCGTTTGGTGGGTTATCTCGTTGCTGCTGATCAGGTTCGTTCGGTGGTGGAGGCCTTCCTTCGACGTCGGCGAGCACGAGCTTAAGCACGCTGAGCACTTGCCAGCATTCCGACGCCAGGTACCCGAGGCCGCGCATGCACAGCTCGATGCAGAGCAGTGGCAGCATCATGCGCAGGCACATGTGGCGCATGCAGGAATCGATCTGCTGACCGACGACGACAGGCGCGTGCAGGAGCTGGACTGCTTCTCGCGCGAGGCCATATCGAAGCAGCAGGCCTTCAAGGAGGAAGTGCGCCTCGCTGCGGCATAGCTCGCCGAGTGCTGGGATGAGGGGCACTAGTTGTGCCGCGTCGAGGAGGCGGTCAGTGGGCTGCCGAGGAGGCGGGATCAGGGGCGAGGCTGCCGCGGTGCCTCGTTCGGAGTCCGAATTGCCACCGCATCCTGCTGCCTCCCAGCGCATGGTCCGCAGTGGTGGATGTGGGCTCGTTTCCTTTCGGAGGTGGATAGAGCTCCTACCCTGACACGTCGATTAAGGAATTGGCCGCTTTCGGTTCGCGAGAGGGCGTCGCGGCCGTCATTCTCGCGGGTCCAGGTCCGTCGGTTTCGGTCCCAGGCCGTTTTCACTCCACCGCCGATCTTTCCCCATATGGAATCCGACTCCACTCGAGAAAGAAACAGACAATTGCATGAACATGCAATTCTGGGGGTCTGCGCGGGTGTCTTGGGTCGGCGCTGACCCCCCTCCGCCTGGCGCGCGAAGCGTGCCATGGGCGGCGCCGGAGTCGCCGCTAGCGAGGGCCTAGCGCCGAGCCAAGACATCCGCGCGGACCTCCGAACGCGTAGGGTGATGCAGTAGGTATCAAAGACGTAGCCGCTGGCGCCTACCACATGGATGTAAAACATGATATGGACACATCTAACAGAGGGTTGTGGTAGATGAGCTAAAACGGAACTCTCAACAGATCCGTAGCTCTGCAGTTGTAGTTTCCTCATTCCACGTGGGACGTTCCGAAAAGAGCCTCGCCTTCGATGGTCGAAGGAGTTGTCGCCTCTTCCTCGGCGGAAGTGCGGCGGAAGGCGGCGGAAGTAACATTAGGTCGGGAATGTCCTCCCAGAGGCGGGTTTGGGATGACAAATAGCCAACCAATAATCAAAATAGTCAAAAGAGCACGAACATTCATCACCATTTTGTTTTTCTACTATTCTTGAATATTCCTCCTGTAGCGGGACACGTCCGACATAAAAGTAAAATTGAGCCGCCTCCTCAGCGGAAGCTGTAGGAAGGTCGGCGGAAGCCGGCGGAAGCAAAAGTCAACTTCCCAAGATATGGCACATTTTGTGTGTTCAGGGTTTCCGGTATCCGTTATGTAGCATGTTTGGATCATTCAGATCCCTAGCACCCTCGTGCCCCGGAGGGGCTGCGCGCACAACAACTGGGCGCACCAGTGGGCCACGTGCAGATCCCCCCTCCTCTCGGGATGTTCATCGCGTGTGGTAGGCCTGGCCAGGTGCCGATGTTCGACAATATTCCACAAGCTTCAACTCGGATATGCTACTTCTATTCGTCCTTGTCAACAGATTAAATGTCCGCCGCATCTCGTCTTCATCGTTTCCTGGCTCACCCCATACGTTCCGCCACGTGTCTTGTCCTTCAAGGCCCGCCACCGTGTTGTTCACATCTTTACCTCCTCCTCTCTCTCGTCTTCCTCCTCCTCTTCCTCCTCCTCCTCCTCCTCCTCCTCCTCCTCCTCCCCACTTCTCCTCCCTCCCCCTCCTCCCTCCTCTTTAATCCCACCGTTCTCCTCGCTCTCCTCCTCTCCTCCTCTTCTTGTTCCCCCTCCCCTTCTCCTGCTTCTGCTGCTCCTCTTCCCGATGGTCTTCCGTCGCATGTGGATGGGTCGGGGAGACGAGGGGGAGGGTCATGGAGAGAGGGAGGGAACGTGTATGGGGAAGAAAGCGCAGGGAGGGCAAGGGGACGGGGGAGTAGGGAGTGGGGAAGGCCGTGGAAATAGAGGGGGAGTGCCTGTGGAGGGAAGCGCAGGGAAAAGAAGGGGACGGGGGAGTAGGGAGGGGGGGAAGGTCACGGAAAGAGAGAGGGGGCGTGCTTGTGGACGGGAACGCAGGGAGAGCAAAGGGAAGGGGGGAAAGCGGGGGGGGGGGGTCACAGAAAGAGAGAAGGAACGTATTTGTGGAGGGGAGCGCAGGGAGAGAACTGGGACGGGGTAATAGGGAGGGGGGGGAAGGTCGCGGGAAGAGAGCACGTGGAGGCGAGCGCAGGGAACATATAAGGGGACAGGGAGATCAGGAAGGGGGGGACGGTCACGGAAAGAGGGCGGGGATGTGTTCGGGGAGGGAAGCACAGGGAACATGCAAGGGGACAGGGGGAAGAGTGAGGGGGGGGGGACAGTGAACGGGAGGAGGAGTGGGCTTTGATGGAGCGGGCCCGGAGCCAGGGAACGGTAGCATTGCGGTCGCGACGCTCTTCTCTCTTCCTTCCTTCCTCTTGTTTGTTTCTTCTCCTCCTCCTCCTCCTCCTCCTCCTCCTCCTCCACTGGGGAGGGGAAGGGCAGGACGGCTGGGGAGGGAGGAAGCGAGGGGCAGGGAAAGGAGTGGAGGAGGGGAATGGAGAGAGGGAGGAGGGGATTCCTCCTCCTCCTCCTCCTCCTCCTCCTCCTCCTATGGTGAGAGAAGGAGGTGATGGGGAGGGGAAGGGCAGGACGGCTGGGGAGGGAGGAAGAGATGGGCAGGGAAAGAAGTGGAGGAGGGGAACGGAGGGAGGAAGGATGGGACGAACAGGACGATGGAGGCAGGATTGGGCAGGGAGGAAGAGAGGGGTAAGGGAGTGGACGAGGGGAACGGAGAGAGGGAGTCAGGATCCGAGACGGCGAGCGGGCCAGAACTGGCGTAGAGCAGTTCGAGTGAGCTCCGCCTCGCAGGGGTTCCTCGTGGTGGCAGTCTTGGGCTGTGGAGGAAGAAAGGAGTCAAGGGAGGAAAAACACTCCGACCCTGACACTTGGCGTTTACGAAACGGCCCTGGGCGTCTACGAAACAGCTCAGCGGTGCGTGGACTACATGGCTTCGCCTGTCGGGATGCTTTTATGTGGGTTGGATCTTCTGTTCCCTAAGAAGGATAGATGGAGGGCTGTACAGTGGAGACCCATGCCAATAAATACCCTGCTTGCCTCCAGGGTGCCCTGGGTGTCTCTGGTTCCGATGGCTTTGCGGTGGAACGCGTGACGCTCTCTCTGTCTCTCTCTCTCTCTCTCTCTCTCTCTCTCTCTCTCACACACACACCAAAAAATCTGTGGACGTCCTGGGGTCTCAGGGTTGGGTTTCTCCTGGAAGGCTCTTTGCGATCGGGCCCCTACTGTGTCTCCTCTTGCCTCCTGCCTCCCCCTTGCCTCCTGCCTCGCCTCCGTGGAGGAGGACAAAGAGGAGGAGGAGAAGGAGGAGGAGGAGGAGGAGGAGAAGGACAAGGAGGACAAAGAAGAGGATGAGGAGAGGGAAAGGAGGGCTAAGAGGAGGAGGAGGAGGAGGAGGAGGAGGAGGAGGAGGACGAGGAGGAGGTGGAGGAGGAGGTCAAAGAGGAGGAGGAGGAGGAGGAGGAGGAGGAGGAGGAGGAGGAGGAGGAGGTCAAAGAGGAGGAGGAGAAGGAGGAGGAGGAGGAGGAGGAGGAGGAGGAGGACCCCTACCTGCTCCTCACTGTCTAGGTCGGGCCCCTCACTGTCTAGGGACAGAGCGAGGGCCGGTGCAGAGGCGGCCGGCCGGCCCGCACTGCCCGGACGGCAGGCCTCGGCGACGCGAGCGGCGCGGCGCGCGGGCCCCAGCCTCGCCCCGGAGGGTCGGCCACCAGCGGGGGCGGCAGAGAGGGGGGGGATGACCAGGGGGTGGGTGGATCTCATGGCGGGGGCCATGATGTTTTCCCAGATTTCATGGCGCCTCCTCTTATTTCATCGCTTCGCTCATTCCGCCGGCCCATAATGCGTAATCGCTGGGGTTTGGCTGCGCGTCCGTGAGCCATGCTGCGCTGATGGGGGGGGACGGTTGTTCGGTGGTGGGCAAAGAGGGGCTCAGCAGTCCTGAATCGTTCCCCCGCAGACACCCCAGCAGTGGCCTCCATGCCCACTGCCCTCCTCGCCCCTCCCTCTCTCCCCGCCCCAGGCCCAGAGGCCTCCCACGAGTGGTCCCCCCTATCTCCCTCTCTCCTCGCTCCTCTCTCCCTCCATCTCGCTTGGGGGCGGCAAAGAGGGGGAGGACTGGGGGTGGGTGGATCTCATGGCGGGGGCCATGATGTTTTCCCAGATTTCATGGCGCCTCCTCTTATTTCATCGCTTCGCTCATTCCGCCGGCCCATAATGCGTAATCGCTGGGGTTTGGCTGCGCGTCCGTGAGCCATGCTGCGCTGATGGGGGGGCGGACGTTGTTTTCGGTGGTGGCAAAGAGGGGCTCAGCAGTCCTGAATCGTTCCCCCGCAGACACCCCAGCAGTGGCCTCCATGCCCACTGCCCTCCTCGCCCCTCCCTCTCTCCCCGCCCCAGGCCCAGAGGCCTCCCACGAGTGGTCCCCCCTATCTCCCTCTCTCCTCGCTCCTCTCTCCCTCCATCTCGCTTGGGGGCGGCAAAGAGGGGGAGGACTGGGGGGGGGTGGATCTCATGGCGGGGGCCATGATGTTTTCCCAGAATTCATGGCGCCTCCTCTTATTTCATCGCTTCGCTCATTCCGCCGGCCCATAATGCGTAATCGCTGGGGTTTGGCTGCGCGTCCGTGAGCCATGCTGCGCTGATGGGGGGGCGGACGTTGTTTTCGGTGGTGGCAAAGAGGGGCTCAGCAGTCCTGAATCGTTCCCCCGCAGACACCCCAGCAGTGGCCTCCATGCCCACTGCCCTCCTCGCCCCTCCCTCTCCCCCCGCCCCAGGCCCAGGGGCCTCCCACGAGTGGTCCCCCCTATCTCCCTCTCTCCTCGCTCCTCTCTCCCTCCCTCTCGCTTGGGGGCGGCAAAGAGGGGGGGGATGACCAGGGGGTGGGTGGATCTCATGGCGGGGGCCATGATGTTTTCCCAGATTTCATGGCGCCTCCTCTTATTTCATCGCTTTGCTCATTCCGCCGGCCCATAATGCGTAATCGCTGGGGTTTGGCTGAGGTCGATGAGCCATGCGCGCGATGGGGGGGCTGACTTGTTTTCGGTGGTGGCTAAGAGGGGCTCAGCCATCAGAATAGTTCACCCGCAGACACCCCAGCCAGTGGCCTCCATGCCACTTAGCCATCCTATCCCTCTCCCCTCTCTCCCCGCCCCAGGCCCAGAGGCCTCCCACGAGTGGCCCCCCCTATCTCCCTCTCTCCTCGCTCCTCTCTCCCTCCATCTCGCTTGGGGGCGGCAAAGAGGGGGAGGACTGGGGGTGGGTGGATCTCATGGCGGGGGCCATGATGTTTTCCCAGATTTCATGGCGCCTCCTCTTATTTCATCGCTTCGCTCATTCCGCCGGCCCATAATGCGTAATCGCTGGGGTTTGGCTGCGCGTCCGTGAGCCATGCTGCGCTGATGGGGGGGCGGCGGACGTTGTTTTCTGGGTGGCAAAGAGGGGATCAGCAAGTCCTGAATCGTCCAGCCAAGCCACCCCCGCAGTGGCCCTCATGCCCACTTGCCCTCCTCGCCCTCCCCTCCCTCCCCGCCCAGGCCAGAGGCCCTCCAGAGGGGTCACCCCTATCTCCTCTCTCCTCGCTCCCTCTCCTCAATCTCGCTTGGGGGCGGCAAAGAGGGGGGGGATGACCAGGGGGTGGGTGGATCTCATGGCGGGGGCCATGATGTTTTCCCAGATTTCATGGCGCCTCCTCTTATTTCATCGCTTTGCTCATTCCGCCGGCCCATAATGCGTAATCGCTGGGGTTTGGCTGCGCGTCCGTGAGCCATGCTGCGCTGATGGGGGGGCGGACGTTGTTTTCGGTGGTGGCAAAGAGGGGCTCAGCAGTCCTGAATCGTTCCCCCGCAGACACCCCAGCAGTGGCCTCCATGCCCACTGCCCTCCACGCCCCTCCCTCTCTCCCCGCCCCAGGCCCAGAGGCCTCCCACGAGTGGTCTCCTCTATCTCCCTCTCTCCTCGCTCCTCTCTTCCTCCCTCTCGCTTGGGGGCGGCAAAGAGGGGGAGGACTGGGGGGGGTGGATTTCATGGCGGGGGCCATGATGTTTTCCCAGATTTCATGGCGCCTCCTCTAATTGCATCGCTTTGCTCATTCCGCCGGCCCATAATGCGTAATCGCTGGGGTTTGGCTGCGCGTCCGTGAGCCATGCTGCGCTGATGGGGGGGCGGACGTTGTTTTCGGTGGTGGCAAAGAGGGGCTCAGCAGTCCTGAATCGTTCCCCCGCAGACACCCCAGCAGTGGCCTCCATGCCCACTGCCCTCCACGCCCCTCCCTCTCTCCCCGCCCCAGGCCCAGAGGCCTCCCACGAGTGGTCCCCCCTATCTCCCTCTCTCCTCGCTCCTCTCTCCCTCCATCTCGCTTGGGGGCGGCAAAGAGGGGGAGGACTGGGGGTGGGTGGATTTCATGGCGGGGGCCATGATGTTTTCCCAGATTTCATGGCGCCTCCTCTAATTGCATCGCTTTGCTCATTCCGCCGGCCCATAATGCGTAATCGCTGGGGTTTGGCTGCGCGTCCGTGAGCCATGCTGCGCTGATGGGGGGGCGGACGTTGTTTTCGGTGGTGGCAAAGAGGGGCTCAGCAGTCCCTGAATCGTTCCCCCGCAGACACCCCAGCAGTGGCCTCCATGCCCACTGCCCTCCTCGCCCCTCCCTCTCTCCCCGCCCCAGGCCCAGAGGCCTCCCACGAGTGGTCCCCCCTATCTCCCTCTCTCCTCGCTCCTCTCTCCCTCCATCTCGCTTGGGGGCGGCAAAGAGGGGGAGGACTGGGGGGTGGGTGGATCTCATGGCGGGGGCCATGATGTTTTCCCAGATTTCATGGCGCCTCCTCTTATTTCATCGCTTCGCTCATTCCGCCGGCCCATAATGCGTAATCGCTGGGGTTTGGCTGCGCGTCCGTGAGCCATGCTGCGCTGATGGGGGGGGCGGACGTTGTTTTCGGTGGTGGCAAAGAGGGGCTCAGCAGTCCTGAATCGTTCCCCCGCAGACACCCCAGGCAGTTGCCTCCATGCCCACTGCCCTCCTCGCCCCTCCCTCTCTCCCCGCCCAGGCCCAGAGGCCTCCCACGAGTGGTCCCCCTATCTCCCTCTCTCCTCGCTCCTCTCTCCCTCCATCTCGCTTGGGGGCGGCAAAGAGGGGAGGGACTGGGGGTGGGTGGATTCTCATGGGGGGCCATGATGTTTTCCCAGATTTCATGGCGCCTCCTCTTATTTCATCGCTTCGCTCATTCCGCCGGCCCATAATGCGTAATCGCTGGGGTTTGGCTGCGCGTCCGTGAGCCATGCTGCGCTGATGGGGGGGCGGACGTTGTTTTCGGTGGTGGCAAAGAGGGGCTCAGCAGTCCTGAATCGTTCCCCCGCAGACACCCCAGCAGTGGCCTCCATGCCCACTGCCCTCCTCGCCCCTCCCTCTCTCCCCGCCCCAGGCCCAGAGGCCTCCCACGAGTGGTCCCCCCTATCTCCCTCTCTCCTCGCTCCTCTCTCCCTCCATCTCGCTTGGGGGCGGCAAAGAGGGGGAGGACTGGGGGGGGGTGGATCTCATGGCGGGGGCCATGATGTTTTCCCAGATTTCATGGCGCCTCCTCTTATTTCATCGCTTCGCTCATTCCGCCGGCCCATAATGCGTAATCGCTGGGGTTTGGCTGCGCGTCCGTGAGCCATGCTGCGCTGATGGGGGGGCGGACGTTGTTTTCGGCGGTGGCAAAGAGGGGCTCAGCAGTCCTGAATCGTTCCCCCGCAGACACCCCAGCAGTGGCCTCCATGCCCCAGCAGTGGCCTCCATGCCCACTGCCCTCCTCGCCCCTCCCTCTCTCCCCGCCCCAGGCCCAGAGGCCTCCCACGAGTGGTCTCCCCTATCTCCCTCTCTCCTCGCTCCTCTCTCCCTCCCTCTCGCTTGGGGGCGGCAAAGAGGGGGGGGGGTGACCAGGGGGTGGGTGGATCTCATGGCGGGGGCCATGATGTTTTCCCAGATTTCATGGCGCCTCCTCTTATTTCATCGCTTCGCTCATTCCGCCGGCCCATAATGCGTAATCGCTGGGGTTTGGCTGCGCGTCCGTGAAGCATGCTGCGCTGATGGGGGGGCGGACGTTCGTTTTCGGTGGTGGCAAAGAGGGGGCATCAGCAGCATGAATCGTTCCCCCGCAGACACCCCAGCAGTGGGCCTCCATGCACTGCCCTCCTGCCCCTCCCTTCTCTCCCCGCCCCCAGGCCCAGAGGCCTCCCACGAGTTGTCCCCCTTATCTCCTCTCTCTCGCTCCTTCTCTCCCTCCATCTCGCTGGGGGCTGGCAAAGAGGGGGAGAGGACTGGGGGGGGGGGGATCTGATGGCGGGGGCCATGATGTTTCCCAGATTTCATGGCCGCTCCTCCTCTTTCATCGCTTCGCTCATTCCGCCGGCCCATAATGCGTAATCGCTGGGGTTTGGCTGCGCGTCCGTGAGCCATGCTGCGCTGATGGGGGGGCGGACGTTGTTTTCGGTGGTGGCAAAGAGGGGCTCAGCAGTCCTGAATCGTTCCCACGCAGACACCCCAGCAGTGGCCTCCATGCCCACTGCCCTCCTCGCCCCTCCCTCTCTCCCCGCCCCAGGCCCAGAGGCCTCCCACGAGTGGTCTCCCCTGTCTCCCTCTCTCCTCGCTCCTCTCTCCCTCCCTCTCGCTTGGGGGCGGCAAAGAGGGGGGGGATGA